AAGTTCAATAATGTTATGTACACATTTTAGAATTAGTCTGATTCAAAGGAGAATCAGAAGGCTGAATCCTGACTGACAGAGGAGGAGTTGGGGATGGAGGAGGGTAATTAGCTATTGAGCAATCCGAAAACTGCTGATAATACTGAGGGATATAATAAATATATAATATATATATATATATATATATATATATATATATATATATATATATATATATATATAAATACTTAGACAGGTGTCGTATTCCCATAGGTTGATGGAGATCAGCTGAGAGTCAGCTGATGCGAGCTTGACTAACGTGACCTGCCAGAACTAACGCTACGCTAGATAATGTTCTAATTTGAAAAGATGTGCATCATGGGCGATAGAAGCATTGTTCAGATCTGTTATCTCCCTCTTCTAGACAATTCCTGCTTTTCTTCTATTTGGATCAAGCTCTTGAATTGTCCACCCACACCCACAAAACACATGTGCTATTTATGTCCTATTCTTTTTGTAGAGAGGGTCACATTTAGTTAAAAATAAAAGCTATCCATCAATAATAACACTGCTGGGGGTCTCAGAGACCCCAATGGTGTTTAAATATCTACTGACTATGTTTATGTACACATAAGAAAATGGCTTTTTCAAAAGAGCAGCAGTCTGAAACATCATGTAAACACATGTTTTCTTATGCTACATTCTAAAAAAAAAAAAAGTCAGGGCCCAAAAATATGACCCAGTGTACTGTGTTAATATGAAGGAATTTTCTGTATGGATTTTTCACAGGTGTTTTATGAGTATTTTAAATGATGAATTGCATTGTGTTTTAGGGTTAAAGGAAATGTCCGTAAACTTAATGTCCGGATATAATATCCTGGCAGAAAACTAGTGCCTGCCAGTACCTTTTCTGTTTTTCTACAGATTTTTTTTTTCTCAGTGTAACACGCCTTTCTCAGAGTTTAATACCTGGATTTCTGTCATGTAAATGCATGCAAGGCATTCTAACATGTTTTTGAAGAGTACACATATACTGTATGTGTGGATAAAACCTACAACTAAAGAAATGGAAAGTTGTGGAGAAAGCAAAACACTTATATACAGTACTGTTTAAAAGTTTGGGGTTAGTAAAACAAATAATACTTTTATTCAGACAGGATGTATTAAATTGATTAAAAGTGACAGTAAAGACATTTATAATGTTAAATGCTGTTATTTTCATCAAAGAATGCTGAAAAAAGATCAGCTTCTACAAAAATACGAAGCAGCGTAACTGTTTTCAGCATTGATAAAAATAATAAAAGTTTCTTTAGCACCAAATCAACATATTAAAATGATTTCTGAAGGATTATGTGACAGTGAAGACTAGAGTAATAGTGATATTAGTAACTGTAATAATATTTCACAGTATTACTGTTTTTCCATTACATAAATGCAGCCTTGATGAGAATAAGATCATTCTTTCCAAAACATAAAAAAGTACCAACCGCAAACTTATATTAGTATACTGAGTGTATACTAGAGAGTAATAGCGTATATAAACACAAATGCCATTTTGCGTCTTAAGCAGCTTTCTAGCAATAGGCGGCTGTGCAATGCATGCAAACATAGTAATACTTTGATGTACTTATTTTTTATCTTCCTCTATTGGGATTTGATTGAAGGGATAATTCACCAAAAAAATTTAAATTCTGTCATCATGCTCACCCTCATGTCTTTCCAGAATCTGAAGAACATTGAAACAACACTGAACCCCATTGACTTTAAGTTTATTGACACTGATGCATTATTCTTGTACACTGACATCTTTTTTTTATGTTCCACAGAAGAAAGAAAGTCAAATGTGCCATTAATTATTTTATACATGCAGGGTCTCTGGGACCTCAAACATAAAAAACAGTACGGTAAATCTTAACAGAACATGAGGGTTAAGGAAATCTACAGTGTGTGCTTCTATATGTGACCTATATGTGACCTTATGTATGTGACTTAGTGTCTAGTCTGTGCGTATGTGATACTGACCATGGATTTCTCTTTTTTTCATCTCAAGGCGGGTCATGACGGAGAGAATGTGGGGAACTGTCCCTTCTGCCAGAGACTCTTCATGGTTCTTTGGCTGAAAGGAGTGAAGTTCACAGTAACCACTGTTGACATGAGGAAGTGAGTGTCAAATTAAGCTTCATATCTCGGAAACATGACGATAAGGCAATCTAATGGAAAGGAATTCAGTAAACAAATAGCGAAATCTGAGGAACTGTGGGCCAGCACCGGACTGAATTTGATAACACAAATTGGTCAAAGTACTACAAACATGATCAAGGCAGTGTGAACTTTCCCATTGCACTGTTCTCATCTAAATCTTCTTAAGCAAATGCAGCTTTCACCCATTTACCAGCCGGACACTCCCATATCCGTGTGCTTTGAGAGATTAAACTGAGTTTAATATTGTTTTAAAGAAGCATTAATCACTTTAGGTCTCATTCAAAGACTCTCCTTGTACAATAACTGACTTCGTATTGACCATGTCCACACCCTGTGGTTTACACTCCTTCTCCTTTGCTCCACCCTGTGTTGTTTAGGAAGCCAGAAGAGCTAAAAGACTTAGCTCCAGGTACCAACCCTCCTTTCCTCCTGTACAATGGCACGCTGAAGACCGACTTCATTAAGATCGAAGAGTTCCTGGAGACCACCCTCGCCCCTCCCCGGTATTGTGCATGTCTGTTAGCTCATGTAATGCCATATCAAACATATTGGCTTCACTTTGACAAAAAAAAACGTTTCATAAACATATTATTCTAGTGTTATTCTGTCATAAATCACACAGCTGCCCTTATTTAAGAAATACCTGATGCATTGACATTAATAAATCATCCATATCAAAGACTTTCCACCCAGTACTTCAGGATAGTTCTTGCTGACTTATAATTTTATTTTAATGGTTTCAAAGATATTAGAATATCAGCACTGGCCAAAATCATGTACTGTTTTTTTTTTTTTTTTTAAAGAAATGAATACATTTATTCAACAAACATGCATTACATTTTTTTTTTTTACTTTTTAATAATAAAAGAAACAATACTACTGTTTTACTGTAGTTATGATCAAATAGCTGTATTTTACTGTATTTTTGACCAAATAAACACAGTATTGATGAGCATAAGAGACTTCTGTCAAAAGTACTAAAATTATTAACATTTTGAACAGTAGTGTACTGACAAAATATTTTAAAAATAAAACCCTATGGCATATTTAACATGCATTATGTATAGACTTTTTAAATGTCAGCATAATAATGTGAATGTTGTTGGATGTATATCTTTTGGGTGTGTGAAGACTGGCTATAAATGTTTCTCTCTGTCTTATCCTATCAGCTATCCTCATCTCAGCCCCCGCTACAAAGAGTCTTTTGATGTTGGCGCTGACATTTTTGCCAAGTTCTCCGCGTTCATCAAGAACAGCCCAAACAATGCTTGTAAGTTTCATTCACAGCCAAGACATACAAGAAATGAAAAATTACATGGTTTTCCTTACTTATTTACACGGTCATAACAACTCAGTGTCTTAGAACTACTTTATGCCACAGATTCATGATGCTGTTTGCTAGTTCAAAATGTGTGTGGTGTCTTAAGGTGCAGTCACATTAACGAAAATTCCAAAAGTTCAGTCACTTTCACACCAAACAGTTTTCTGTTTGTCAAGTCAATGTGGAGGATACCATTGTGAAATCTGCTTGAGACATTTTTAGGACCTTATTTGAGTAGCACAGCCACAGAGGTAACACGATTCTGTGATATTGCTTTTATACAACAATACATAAAAAGTTACATTTTAGACACAATATTGCCAAGAAAGTTCCAAACGTAGCCACAGCAGAAACGTAGTATCCCCAACATTACTGAAGTGCTTCCTTCCTGCATGACTTAGTGTTTTGAACAAATCAGTTCAGTGAATGATTCGATGAGTTGTTCAAAATAACAGTAGCATGGCCTGTCTAGATGAATCAGCATTTTTAAACGAATCGGTTCAATGAATGAATGGTTCAATTACTCATAAAGACTGTATTTTGTCGCCATATACTGATGTGACCTGCAGAAAGATGAATGAAAATCCACACTATTAATGCGCAGACTGGATGGAACTGAGACAGTGGGTAATAATAAACAGTTTTATGAAGATTTTCACTGTTTGTATCAGCAAAGATAATATTTAGAAAATATTTAGCTACATAATTAGATTCAATTACTAGGCCTACATAATGGAACTAAACAAAATTAGTATCTACGTATTCCTGCGCATGTAGACACCATGGCATCACAATTAGACTATAATGTACTATATCACTCTTAAATATGTTTTTTCTCTACTGTTTGATTCCTCAGTCCACGAAAAAGCCTTATTGAGGGAGTTTAAGCGCCTGGATGACTATCTGAACACTCTGCTTCAGGATGAGCTGGATCAAAACCTCAGCGAATCCAAAAGAAAGTTCCTTGATGGCAACCGCTTGACACTGGCAGACTGCAACTTGTTACCAAAGCTGCACGTCATCAAGGTGATATGCCTCTGTGGTTCACACACACACACACACACACACACACACACACACACACACACACACACACACACACACACACACACACATACAGGACTGTGTGATTTAATAAAGCTATTTCATTTTAAATACATATTTATAAATGTGTTCATTTTGTTTTTTGTTTTTGTAGGTTGCTGCCAAAAAGTATTGTAATTTTGAGATTCCTGCTCAGTTCACTGGAGTGTGGCGTTACCTGCAGAATGCATATGAGAGAGAAGAGTTCAGCCAGACCTGTCCAGCTGACATTGAAATTGAGAAAGTCTATCTGAGTGTGGCCAAGAGGAACTGAGCTTCAGATTAATGAAATTGAGAAAGCCTATCTGAGTGTGGCCAAGAGGAACTGAGCTTCGGATTAATGAAGCGATATTGTGATTAAAATGTTTAAATAGTGTAAATAAAACTAAATAAAAGGTTTATAGCCATCTACATAGTTGTAGTTCACAGGTATGGAAATCTATTACAGTGAAGACAAAAAAAAAACCACACCACAACACACAAAGTTTGCTTTCATTGTGCCTGCGATCTCAAAGCCCATTAGATTTACTAGAATACTACAGTCAAATAGGCTTTATTCTGGTAGTTTTAGAGGTTATAGGATCCTTTGCAAGTGATCTTGAGCACAACAGTCAACAGAGTTGTGCTTTTAACTGCATATCATATGTAATAGTTTTTTTGTGCATATTTGTGTATATATGTATTTTACATTCATTAGGGCGTATTCGGTTACATGTAATGTATACCTAAAAAGTCTATGTGTTTTAATCATCTGTAGGATTGAGCTAAAAACACTGTAGAGACAAAAGTTTAGTCAAATCACGCGCAGAACTGGAGTCAGTGAGTCATGCGGCAGTAATGGTTGTTTTGTATTAAGGGTTATTGTGATGGATGGATGAGTTGCACAGACACCATTGTTAGACTTTGTGATTGTTTAAGAAAGAGATTAAACTGCTTTCTTTCAGATTTTACTTAAAAATAAAATTAATATCAAACACATCACAAGTTTGTCTTTCTCTTTTCACGTGAACATGAAGCACATCCAGTCTGAATCCAGAGCTTTGATGAAAGATGGATTTAAAACACACACACACACACACACACACACACACACAAATATTACAACTGATCTGTTTTACCCAGACTCTATTTATTTTACAGTTGCAGTTCTAGGTCAGTTTTCTTTTATGATAAAAAATACATTCATATTCCTTATAGATTACTATATATATATATATTCACAATGTCAAACGGCATGGATGGATATTTATATGGATTTTTTATGGGGGAAAACAAAAGCATATATTTTAGATCTTTGTACATAAGGTATGTTAGGCTGGTCCTCTGTCCATTTCAGTGGATTCATTCTTAGTTTGTAACACAATATTTCCAAAAACAGGCTGTAAAATGAAGGACAAAAATTGTATTTAGTAATGCAATAAGAATAGTCATTATGCTGTCTTTGACATATTTAGTCTCTGAGTAAATTTACACTGCATAATCTTAAGTAGTTGTTGTTGCTTTTTGTCATGAAAACATTGATATCTTTTTATTTGCACAACATATATGAGGACCTCTGTTTAGTCTCTTTAATTGCTCACCTCTCTTATTGTTTTTGGGCAAGTTTTGCTCAGATCGTACATAGCCTTGAGAACGCAGGTTATCAGCTGCTGCGAGTTTCAAGACGACTGCTTTGAAATCCTCCTCCTAAAGACACAGAACATATTCATTGTCACTTTAGTTACCTTTTAATTAGAAAGAAAGAAATTGAAAATTCATTACAAAGAGTAGGATCATACCATGTTATTTATTTTCTCTTGTTGCAACGTTTCTTTTGCACCTAGAAAGAAAGTTTAAGCCAAAAAAAAAAACATGATTAGGCTGCAGGAGTTTTTGAAAAATTTATCCATTCTAATAACATGAGAAATGTTATGTAATAATAAGTACCCAAGAGTCACAGTCTCACCTCTCTGGAGCAGGACAGGGAGCACAGTTTTGATGTCCCTTTGCTCCGTTAAGTCATTATTCTGTCTGTCCTCAACCTCTGCCACCAGTTTCTGAATCAGTTCTGAGACAGAAAAAAAGGAAAAAGCAATTCAATTATGAACTACAAAACTTGAGTCATTATTGAAAACTACACTGAAAAAAAGTTGGTGGTGAAACAATAATCACAAAGAAACAGCATGTTATACATTGACTTATGAATTTTTTAAGAAATACTGCAATAGTATTTTCTTGTAAAACATATTCCAATATTCTTTGTTTTATTGACAACTTTGAACATGTTTTACAGTGTTATTTGAAGTTTCACCAAAAAAATCTTCTGTTTCTAAATTAAATGTATATGTTTAAAAGCTTTAGTGAAGACGAATTGAGTTATTCTGTTAAGCTATCACTGATCAAGCTCATGGGTCTTTATCAAATCTTTCCCATACTGCATTCACCACTTCCTCTTTAACATTTACAATGAAAGCAGAAGGGATATTGAACACTCAGCAATCAGCCCAATGTCTATTAGACATGGGTTTCACCATACATTTAGCTTCATGTTCAGCCTTAACAAAAATCATGAGCTTGCCAACTTCTCAAGAGCACACTGATAATCTTACCTTCCTGTTGAGGCAGTGCCGTGTCTGAATATAGAGGCAGCGCATCAGTTCTCAGTGCAGAGCAAACCACAGCCAGAATGTAGAGCAGTGCCAGTGACAACATGTTGAGAGGTTGGCGGGTGTCTCCAGTCTTCAGTACTCTCGCCCCAGCCAGGATCTTCAGTTTTATATCTTCAGAGTGCCATCTATCCTGAAGGGATCAATATTGCTCATGTCACCCCATCCCAATGTTAATGGTTTTGACGTGATGGTTCCCTCGTCATAGACACAATTAAGGTTGTGCTGTCAATTCAGAGAGAGCCTATCTCTGCTTGCACAGAGGGCCCTAACAAATGTTTACTCTTCACATCCCATCTGTGACTGCTCTGCCTCAGATTATTTATGTCTGATATACCTTATGTTGCATGACATATTTTGATCTATATTTGGTCTGATGTGTCATTGATTAGTCCCAACTGTTCAATTAATCATTGGTGCATTTTTATTAAGTGGAACGAGCTAATTGCATTACAAGCATTTGATTTTGTTTATGTTTGGACAATTCTGTTCTCAGTGATATTCAAAGTTAGATACTGTCACACATGCAAAGCAATCCATGAATACTCAAGAAGCCTCTTACGCACCAGATGACGTTTGTCCTGGGAAAGTGCTGTTGGTTTCTCTTTTGCTGTATTTATCAAAGTGAAAGGTATATAATATGACACAAAGGTTTGGTGCCAAATGAACAAACAGCGTAGAGCGGTGATGGATTATGTCGTCTCTGTGTTTCTGAAATTGCAGGTGGAAGTATTGGACTAACATCTCTCATCTTCCAACATCTTTGATGAAAAAAACAGAAAGAACAAAAACAACAAGAACATAATAAAGAACAATTTATTTTGGGTGTACTTTGGAGAAAAGCAAGATTTGAAAATACATATACAATTTTGATGACTGTTTCCTTAAACTAAATTTAGTTAACTGAAATTCTTATAAACTACATTTTATATACACATAATATACAGTATTGTTCAAAAGGGTTGTATGATTTTTCTTTTTTTTTCTTATGCTCACCAAGGCAGCATTTATTTGATCAAAAATATAGTAAAAAACAGTACACCTGTGAAATAGTATTAGAATTTAAGATGACTGTTTTCTATTTTTATATACTTTAAAATTTCATTTTTTTCCAGTACGGGCAGAGCTGAATTTTCAGCTGCAGTCTTCAGTGTCACATGATTCTATGCTGATTTGATGCTTAAGAAATATTTCTTATTATTATCAATTTGAAAACAGTTGTGCCGCTTAATGTTTTTGTGGAATTTTTTTTCTAGAATTCTTTGATAAATAGAAAGTTCGATGTTCAAAATTTAAAAGAACGGTATTTATTTAAAATAGAAAACTTTTGTAACATAATAAATGTCCTTAGTCATGTTTGATGCATCCTTGATGGAAAAAAAAACTAACCTAAAATTTACTAACCCCAAACATGAAGTGTACCTTGTTAAATGTTGCTCTTGTTTAATTGCTCTGGGTCTATTTAATTTTAAGATCCAGATACAGCTTTCTTTAAGTATTGTTAAATGTACTGTTGAATACTTTTCTGTCTTAACAGGTCAACACACTTTGCTAGCACACACATGGAAGATATAAACATGTATAATGTTAATCCACTGTAAAAACTGTCAATGTAAAAAACTATGCAACATTCTTTCCTAAAAATGTGTTTCCAAATTGATGCTTATAAATAAACTCTTAAGAAGAACTCAGCATCTTGTGTTCACAAAATTAAACTTTATTTGTGACACTTTCGTAAGTTCAAGGGGAAGAATGCAAATGACTCATTACAGTGATACTCTGGGGTATTGCACAGACCTTGTTTTATTGCACTCAACAGCATACACATATCTTTAAGAATATAGACAGAACTGTAACAAATGGTAATGAGCTGCTTCATTGTGACTTCTAAAACTAAAAGAAACAGGGAAGTTGTTCAACTGAAACGTTCAGTTAACTAGTGGCATAAGATGTTTATTTAATCAGGCTGAAACTTGTCAAGTCATTTACTATTTATTTCTCACATCAATTTAATTAACACATACTTTTTATTGTGAGTGGTAAGATGAAAATCTTCTATAGACAAATTAAATAGTTTACATTTTGCTCATTAGTACTAAGAACGGCAAACCACAAGCAACAACATTTTGACTATCAGTGCGGGACTTACTTAAATACATGTCTTTAAAAAATAAATATGCAACAGAACTAAAACATAAGCACATTTAATCTGGATGTCAAATGTCAAAAATAACTTTAAAGATAACTTTACAACAATTAAAACACTGCTGTACCAGAATTAACCAAATCCTTTCTGCTCAAACAGTGGAAGCCTTTGATTATGAACATAATCAATATATATATATATATATATA